TACAATAGGCCTAACCACCTATTTATACTAGTAATCTAATAAGAAGATAACTATCTAGTGAGACTATTTAACTAATCTTCTACTAACAGATAAAGCTTATCTATAACAAGGATAAACATTAAAACTAGATAAACTTTGTAGAATCCAGCTGTTGATTGGTCATCTCCAGATGTCTTCCATGGGATATGAGTTCAACCTTATCTTTATTTCTTCATTGCTAGCCTCTGGTTGAACTGGTGAAGGAAACTTCAAGTGTTAGTATCCAGAGGGGTTATGAAGATGCACTTTCCATCGCATCTCTGGTCAGTTCATCGACCCTCTAGTTGTTCTTCAGACTTAGTCATTTTTCCTTGTAGTCTTCCATCGGCCTTTTGATTCTTCATCACTTGTTTGTCTTCATTACTTCATACATAATACTTATGGGGTCTAACATAAACGTAGAAAGTCCTGTTCGTGAAAGTTCAAAAGAAAGGACAACCAGCCAAAAGAACAATTGAAGTGGAGATAGTTATTGAGGCAAATCCAGTGATCGAGCCAATGGTTGAAAAGCTGACGGACTCCACAGTAGAGACAAGGTTGCTAGTGGATTTGTCTGCCAATGTGGGCTTTAATGAAGCATTTTCTAGAAAACTGGGTGGAGTTCAAGACTTTGGCGAAGACATTGATAATATTGATGAGTCATCTGGAATGTATTTTGACTTTGAAACAGACATCAACGAAGATGTTCCGATTTTTTCCATTCCAGGATGATCATCAGATTTCTTCTGAACCTCCCACCGCAGTTGATCAAGGCGTTTCAGAGACTCCGAGAACGGCATTTGATCCTACTGAAATATTTTCCAACAATTATCTGCCTTTTGCAATTCGTGCCAATGTTCCACGGTATGACAGAGCACGAATTAGAGAACCTTATCTAGAGGACATCTACTTCGGGATTTTTCTTCGGCATCGTAAAGTTCTAAGTGCTGATAAGATTCTTGGGATTCATAAAGAAAACCGAGAATACCGAATGTAGTATAAACATTTTCTCAAAGCAAAGTGCCTTCTGATAAGTCAAGTACGAACCAGACTTCGTATTTTGTCCATCAAGCAAATTGATGCCAATAAACTCCTTAGAGTTTGGTATCCAATTTTTACAGTTACAAGACAGGATGGACGTGTCTGGACATTCAGCGAAGCTGATTTCCCGAATCTCTATTGAGAAGATCTGGAGCATATGTATCACGAACTGCGAAATCTTACAGTAAGAAGAAAAGGAGCAGTTATTGCTCTAGAAGCAATCAAGAGATATTTGAAGAGTCATGTCAAAGTATCGATGGTTCTAGATATTTAAATGGGTCTTGAAGATAACCACAAGATTATTAATTTGAAAAGACTAGATCAAGAACTTGAAGATATTGAAGGCTATCCTCTTTATATCATTCTTGAAGATCCGGAGTTTGGAGTGATTTATAGTGCTGAAGGTCGGAAAAAAGATTTATGAGATGCAGTGAGTTGAACAAGTACTGTGACGGTACAATAAAGATGGTGTGTCGGGCGCTTAAGAAGATTAAAGCTGACAATGATAAAGTCGCAGAAAAGGAGAGAATGAGGCCGAAGGAAAGGTATCTTCTAATTAATGTTTTGAACCTGTTAGACGACAAATTGCAATATCGGAGTGCTCTAAGAAGGATTGAGACGCTTCTTAGGCTAAGAAAGCCAAGGTTTACAATTTCTCGAACTTGAATCCAAAGGGGGAGAATGTTGGGTTCAAGAATGTGCTGACAAGTTGTATTCAAGTTGTTTCTCTCATTTTGAAATAGTTAGCTTTATTACTTTCTTAGTATAAATAGATTTTTAGAAGCTTAATTGTAATTGTCTTGCTAATCACTCTTGTAATATTCTCTCAAGAAATATATTATCAAGCTTGGTGAAAATATCTCTCTCATCTCAATTGTGTTCTTGAAGATTTATCTGATTTGATTGATAATTGGGATTCATAGAAAGTGCACGTGAGCATCAAGGTAAGACTCCGTTAACTCCATATTGGCTAGCACCTTATCCAACTTACGGAGTAAGCCATCATCATCGTTAGGCTTTTAACACCAAGTAAAATGTACTCCTGAAAAAACCACATCAAACACCTCTATATCTTCTACACAAGCGTGAAAATCGTGCATAACAACTGAGCATCTTGTAGAACCACTATAACCGTCATGAAGGAACAACATCGCATTAAAGTCCCCATAATCAGCCATGGTTTATTACCAATGAACACCTTAAATTTGCGAAGGCCTGACCATAGTTCAGTCTAGAAACTACTTGATCACTCCATAAACAATTGATACAAAAAAGAAGAGAGGACATACCCCTTATGCACATTTCTACATGTAAAAATTGAGCATGCATGTCAATCACCATAACCTACATAACATTAGTGTCCCATGGCGTAATTATTCTTGTCCCTTGATCAGAATGGATCTGATTGGAGACCCACTTCCATCGGCCAAAAACCCTCGCACAAACTTCACCAATAATAGACTTATTTAAACAAGATTCAACAATAGTACACATGTTAATTCCATTAGAATGAACAAAATTCTTTACCTCCCATTGTTTAGTCAGGGCATTAAACAAGTTGCCAGCTTAATCATTTCATTGTGGCTAACGTCTCCATTTGGGGTATCCGCCACAAATTCCCCACTCTAAGGATCAACCAATTCCTCCTTCAAATTCGATGGTGGTTCAGATCGGCGATAGCCGACGATGGTTCAGATCGTTAGTGGTTAGTGATGGTTCAGATCAGCGGTGGTTCAGATCGATGGTGGTCGGTAGTGGTTTAGATCGGTGGTTCAGATCGATGGTGGTCGGTAATGGTTTAGATCGGTGGTAGTCGATGATGGTGGTCGGTAGTGGTTTAGATGGCGATGGTTGACGGTGATTCAGATCGACGATGGTCGAAGGTGGTCGATGATGGTCATATTGTGTTCTATGAGATTAGGGTATATTGGGTTAAGGGCATATTTGGTATTATAAAAACAGATAATTCCATTCCATGAAAATACCATGTAATTGCTAAGGAACATAAAATTCCTTTATTTGTAGAATTTGTATGATTTTGAAGATTCCTTTCGTGAAAAAATAAACCAAACGGGGGAATGAAATTTGGTCAATGAAATTCAACATTCTAATTCCATTGGATTCCTTCAGAATCTGCGAACCAAATGCCCCCAACTTTATGATACATCCCATTTCAACTAATGAAATCCGAAAAACGAGCCATTAAAGACCACTAGGACTCGTTGTACCTTAATTAGACCCGTTTAGATCTAATTAGACACATGTGCTTTCTGTAAAAATTGCATGGATAGCGACAATCATTTATTTTTTCAAAAGAGGTGTGGGAAAGCATTTTAAAGGATGTGGATTGTAAGAGTATGCCAGACTCTTGGGATCATATTATGGGAGCAATTTCGGATGCGAGGAGGTTGCCTAAGAGGTTAATTCAGAAACTTGCTCTTGCGGCCTCGGCCTACTATATTTGGCAGGAGTTGGAATAGAAGGTTGTTCAGTCATAAAAAAACGAACGGCTATGCAACTTATCAAGGAAATAAAGAGTAAAATATTTATTCGTGCGACTTGGAAGGAGAATAAGACAGAGAGGACTGGTACTACAAATAGGGTGTGACCATTTGTTTGGTGGGTTGTAGGTGGGTCTTTGTTTTGGAAAAGGCTTCTCTCCATCTTGTTTTGCAGTTTGTTTTTTTCTGTTGGACTTTGTACTTTCTGGCTTATTGTTGCTTGGTACGGTGTGTTGACCAAGTTTTTCTGTTTTGCCGCATGGCTTTGGTTGTGGCTTTTTGCCTGAATCTTGTTTGTTTTTTCGGTGGTTTATAAATTTGCCTGGATTCCCTTAAAAAAAAAAGAATCAAAACGACGCATTTAGGACTACTTAGACCCATTATGCGACAATTAGATTCATTTACGGGGTGTTTGAGATTTGCTTATTTGAAATAACTTATCTTTTTCTATAAAAATCCTTGGGGTGTTTGGGATTGCTTATTTAAAACAACTTATGTTTTTCTATAAAAGTCTTTATCAATTTATCATAAATTAGAATGATTTAACTTCTTTAAAAATTTATTATCACCGGTTTTACACCGGTATAAGCTATTTATCCAAACACTCAAAAGTGATTATTACTGGTGCCACTACAGAATAAGTTGTTTATAAGCAATCCCAAACACCCCCTTAGATCTAATTTGACACATTATGACCCACTTAATCCTATTATGACTCATTTAGACATATTAAAGAGATTAAGAAGTGATTTTATTCTAATTAGTTGAATATATTTGAAATTTCCCGCTTTCTCTTTCATCGCGATACATAGTGAACGATAGAATGTCCGCTGAAGAAGAAATGTAATAATCTCGTCGTCCAACAACGGAGGGTTTACAACACAAATGTAAACAACATATTATATGTTCTTTGAATTTCAAAATGAAAGATACTGGAATAAGAATTATTATGAGCAATCCTTTAGGATAGACATCTTAATTGATTTGCATAATTGTAATATTCAATTATAATTACTACCTCACCCTTAATTTTCATTTATTACATAAATTAATTAGATTAAAATAGAATAAAATAAAATGAATGGATCTCACAATTTTTAAAATTTCAAATGATTAAACCAATATTGAAAACATAAAAACCTAACATGTAATAATATTAGTAAAAATTATAAATTAAAATAAAGTTTTTTTTTTTCTATTTTAGTTTTTATATTTCGGTGATCTACATATTTAAAATATATTTTTATTAATTAAGAAATTAATAATTTGATGCTAATTATAACAAAAAGTATAGAATTAAATTTTGTTACATTTAAAAATTACCAAGAGTAGTAAAAGTATTTGGAAGAATCTTTGTGGGCTTCCTTAACTTCCCCCTTGTGGGGGATTACTTGTTCCCATGTTTTTATTTATTCGGAGTTGATTTTTGTCTGAAACCGGTCAAAACAGCACCAGCAGTAGAAGAAGACAAAGAGGGCTAGGCCCGCAAGAAGCCACGAAATCTTGAAACCCATCTCGATTTCCCTCTGAGAAAACCTCTTTTTCATACCTCCATCAAAACCCTTTTCGTCTAGTTGACAGGAGGGTGATAATCAGAGGGGAAAAAAAAAATGAGTGGTCAAGTGCCTCCAGCTTCTTCACGGAGGAGCAGTTCAATGCTTCGACGAAATAATCCATCTACATCCACCAGGAAGTCGTCATCCACTCAATCGGAAAATGGAACAACCGCCACCGGAGCCACCAATGGCCATCCCCTCAAATCCCCTTTGTCTACTCCCTCGTAAGTTCAATTACATTCATCATTCTTTATTTCATTTATTATACGGTACAGACACCTTGCTCAGGTTGCCACATCATGTTCGTGATTGCGAAGGCAGCAAAAAGGGCATAGTTTAGTTGGCCACGGTTTGAAGGAATTCACGTTGGTCTGGGCATTTTAAATAGAACAAATTTGTGCTTATTATTTCTAACGTATATCTTCTTATGCCTTCTGTGTGTTCTATTTGATGTTCTTTATAGGGAAAACTATTTATTGGCTCCCGAGTATAAATGACATGCAGTAAATGTAGCTTGTGTACTTCCTCCTTCCCGTAATCCTTTTTTTTTTTAAATTTAAGAACATTTTAAATTCAATTGTTAGTTTTTGGATCAAAATGCTTAATGTTACCAAGCGGTTGTTGGTACCGTTCACTCATTGATTTAGGAACAATATCAAAACTCGTTGGGTCTATATTTGGATAGCCATAAAGGAGGATAGATGGAAACTGCTATGCTCGCATGCTAGTTTACTTATAACTTTTCCCCTCTCAACAAGAGTTATGTTGTGTGTTTCTTATTCTGTTCCCGTATGGTCTTTTGATGAATCTTTGTTTTCTGCTGGTTAGTGGTGAAAGGACTGTGAAGAAGCTTAGGTTGTCGAAGGCCCTCACCATACCTGAAGGGACCACTGTTTTGGATGCTTGTAGGAGAATGTTAGCTCGTCGTGTTGATGCTGTGCTATTGACGGATGCTGATGCTTTGCTTTCCGGGATAGTCACTGACAAGGTTTGACGAATTGGGATATATTCATTTGATTTAATTTGTTCATTATGTGCCTATCTTCTCCCCCAACTCCCTTTGGAGACAAGTGAAAGTTTATGGGCATTGAGGTGCCCATACTTGTTTGATTTTAGCAAAGTTGTTGGCATTGTTTTTGTAATTATTGCTCTCACAAGTTGCTAACATGGACAAATAGCAATGCTTTGCTATCTCACCCAGAATTTATGGTGCTGCTGTCATGTGCTCTCATTTCTCTCCTGTTTTTTCTTACCTGATTCTCTTTTTCATTCTTGGGCTAATTAACTCTTAATGGCTGTAGGATATAGCAACCAGAGTTCTTGCAGAAGAACTAAGGCCAGACCAGACTATAATTTCAAAAGTTATGACAAGGAATCCTACTTTTGTCTCTTCTGATTCTTTGGCAATCGATGCCCTTCAGAAGATGGTCCAAGGTTTGTTTTCTAAATTTCTGTTTATTTCATCATTATGCTTGAAGATGATGTAGCTCCATCTCTAGGAAATCGAGTGTGCTAACAATTTCGGTGAATAAATAACCATCAAACTAAAAAACGGATTATGGAGGAAATTGAAAGTGTCATGCTTCTTTCAAGCATGAATAGGTAGGTGTAAGTTATCGTAGCATACATGGGTCTGATTTTGTATAACTGGGGGAAAACACGAGATAGGAGAAGGTCTCCAATTATTGTATAGACATTGTTGCATCTTCAATTAATTTCACTTTTCATGTTGTCTTATCAAACCTTTTACATTCATTACCAAATCAGGTAAATTTAGACATCTCCCAGTTGTTGAAAATGGAGAAGTTATTGCATTGTTGGATATCACAAAGTGCCTATACGATGCTATATCTAGAATGGAAAAGGCTGCTCAGCAGGGTAGTGCTATTGCTGCTGCTGTTGAAGGAGTGGAACGCCAATGGGGAAATAATTTCTCTGGTGAGTGCTTATATCTGAATTTACTACTAAGAGGAGGTACATGTTAAATAATGTCTATATGATCTTAAAATTGTAATAACTCTCTGCCACATTTGATCTTTTTACTAATTTTGCATGGTCTCTTTACCCTAGACATCAAAAATTCCGTTCGCATATGTGAGACTATCTAGCTCGGGTAGCAAGCTTTATTGGTCAAAACCATGAGCACACAATCTTATGTTTTTTCGTTAGTATGGTAACTGTGGGTACCACACAATATACGGATAGCATCTTATGTTTTTGCTTAGTGGATGAAATTAAAATATCAAGTACATGCTAACCAACGACACCGCCTATGAGAGGAGTTAACTGAACATTTTTGTTTCTATTTTTCTGAACCTGCAATGCCATGGACCATGATGTTAGGGAACCAGAATATGGCATGTGCACAGAAGTGGAGCAACAGTGAGGTTGATGTGTGGCGACATAAGGAGGGATATCATTGGAGATGAGGAATATGAAGAAGGTTGGATGTACATGGGTTATGTAGAAGCTAAGGGTTTGATTATCTCCAATGTAAGCCTTTGAATGTTGCAGCTAGAGAAGTAGGCTTGTACCTAGAGGAGCTCTTAGGTTTTGGAGGTTGGCCAATATTGATGTGGTGGAACTAGTGAAGGGAACTTTGTCACTTTGAGCAAAGTGAATACTAAAGGTGTTAGCCTTAAATGGAGAGTGTGGAGAAGGATGCGTTTTATGTCACAAAGCCTAAGACGTGACCTCTTAACGATTTATACTAGATGTCATACCTTTTAGAGGTTGGCCAATATTGGATAAAAGACTTGTTATTTTCTAGTGACTTGCTAAACCTGCTCCATGCTTTTTTTCATTGGAGTATGTACAAGGAAAGAAAGAAGCAGGATTGGTCAAACCTTAGGGTTTAATTTCTAATACAACTAATATACAACCAATGTATATGGTGCTAGCACCTTTGATTTCACCTTCCACACTAGTTACACTAGCAAATAAGAGGCGATTGAGCTGAAGTACCAATGAAGTAAAAAAACCGATTCAAGCAAGAATTTACAGAATAGGAGATTCTGTACCTATCTCTGACAATGTGTTTCTTGCAACTGTGCGAATGAAGTGTGTTTATCAGTCCAAAACAAGTATACATCTACAAAGTGCACGTTGGTGCAAAATTTAGTCTTCTGATTACAATGCTTAATAGTGCCATAACAATCAAGCCTAAAAAGCTATGGATGGAAATGACATTGTGTGCTTGATCATTTTACCTGTTGATACTGAAATGTGTTTCATGATTTGCTTTTAGTTCTTATTTTTCCCAGGGAGGCCTTTAAGTTTTGATTTGTTGATGAAGCATATACTTTGGGGTTGACGTCAAACATGTTCATTCTCATACTTTTTTTGGTTGATCTAGCGGTATGCATTGCATATATATGCATCGTTACGATCTTTTAGTTACTATTATTGAATGTTTAAAATCATTTCCAGCACCTTCTGCTTTCATAGAGACACTCAGGGATCGAATGTTCAAGCCCTCTTTGTCAACCATCATTGCAGAAAATTCCAAGTACATCTTTTATCTTGTCCAATGCAAGTGCATGGGTTACTGAGTTTATGTTTCACTAAGTTTTGTAACTTTACTGTACCCCAGGGTTGCAACTGTTGTAGCATCAGATCCTGTTTGTGTTGCTGCAAAAAGGATGCAGGAGTTGCGAGTTAATTCTGTTATCATTTTGGGTGGAAATAATATCCAAGGCATATTAACGTATGGTTATTGTTTAATTATGTCTTTGATTAATTATTGATGTTGCCATGTTGCTTGTTCATACTCTATAATAGTGTTTTTGTTTGCTTGTAGTTCAAAGGACCTTCTCATGCGAGTTGTAGCACAAAATCTTTCCCCTGAGTTAACACTTGTTGAAAAGGTTCTACTTCTACAATTATTTAATTCAAGCCTTCAATTCTGTAGCTAAAGTTGCAATAGGACACACTTAATTCTTAACACAACAATGATCATTTCAAGAGGATAGATTTTTTAAATGGATCTCTAATTGGGTAGTTGCATTCCTCCCATTGATTTCTTTTCATCGTGTACATTCTTAGGTGAATTTCTTTTTGAGTATCTGGAAAATATTTATGATTGATTGATTGTGTATTTAGTTTTTGACAATAGTGAATAGAAAGACAGGGCCTTCTGTGTTGTTACGCTTCTTAAAAATGCAGCGCACTTAGATGTTAGGTTGTCAGACGATTGGACTCAATTCCTCCCCCCTCATACTTGAACTATTGTTGCTGCCCGAAAAGATGGAGAACATCTGCACCTAGTGTCATAAGACTGAATGGCAGCCTCGGCCTGAGCAAATCGCACTTGATATGTCTAGAATACCATGTTCTGTTTTACCCACTTGAAGTCCATAAAACATTTTTCTTTTCAGCTTCCGTGTACTTGTGCAAGTTACAATTTCTGATGTTTTGCATGTAGAATTAGTTATCGATTTCTCTCTCCCTATTATGACCAATTTAGACATATCAAAGAGAATAAGACACATTTTACCCACTTACTCCAAAATGACCCATTAAGGACAACTTGGACTCGTTATACCTCAATTAGATCTATGTAGCTCTAATTAGACATTATAACCTACTTGCACTCGTAATGATGCGTTAGACTCGTTAAGGAGAATAGGAGACTTTTAGGACCACTTAGACCCATTATACCTCAATTAGATCCTATTTAGTCTAACTATACACATTATGACCCATTTAGACACATTAAAGATAATAAGAGACATTATACCCACACCCACTTACTCCAAACCAAAGTGATCCATTAAGGACCACTTGGACTTATTATACCTCAATTAGATCTATTTAGCTCTAATTAGTTACATTATAACCTACTTGCATTCATTATGACGCTTTAGACTCGTTAAGGAGAATAGGACCCTTTTAGGAGCACTAAGACCCATTATACCTCAATTAGATCTAATTTGGTTTAATTAGACACATTATGACTCACTTAGTCGCATTATGACCCACTTAGACTCGTTAAGGAGGGTAAGACCCATCATAACCACCGATACCAAAATGAGCCATTAAAGACCAGTAAGACTACTTGTACCTCAATCAGATCCATTGAGGTCTAATTAGACACATTATGACCCACTTAGACTTGTTAAGGAGAATAAAACCCATTACAACCATAAATATCAAAACGAGGCATTTAGGACCACTAAGACCGGTGATACGTCAATGCTAATTCGTGATGGAGCTCTTGGTGGCTTAGTTAGAGTTGTTTGGCTTTTGGATCAGGTATTGAAGGAGGTTTCTCGACATCCTTTTCTCTAGTTTGTTTAGATCTTTTGACCTTTGTACCTTTTGGTTGCTCGTTGCTTGGTTTGGTGTTGTTACCAAGTTTTTCTGTTTTGTTGCTTGGTTGGTTGTGGCGGTTTTGCCTGAACTCTCTAATTTTCGCTTGTCTATATAATATTGCCTGGAGCTTTTCCTCTAACGTGCTATCGATACAATATCATTTATGTTAGACGTCATGAATCCTAGCACCGCACAGTGTTACCATCCTACATCGTAGGGGTATTATACTTGTCAGATACAAAAGTTATTTATAGACTTCTCCTATTACCTCAGGTTTTTTTATTTATCTTAACTCTTAAAGTTAATGCATTTTCATACATAAAATTAGTTGTCAATTAATTTTAATGTAATCTTCAATGAAATATTAATCACCTAAAATAAATAGTTAGACTATAATGCTAATAAGACACATCTATACTTTCACATCGGCTTAGGTCTTAATTTCCCCTTACACCCTAAGCTAAGGCGTTTAACCCATCATCGCTCGGTTTCTTCTTGCGAAGGATGTAAAGACTGACAAATAAATAACTGATGCAAAAAAGTAAATAATATTGGATAACTGAAGTTAGGAGGATTGTAGGCGCAAACATATACCAGGCAGTACAACTAACACCCAAGTTGACCCGTATCCCTTTGATCCTATATGAGCATCCACTTTTTCAAACAATTGAGCCTTCATCTTGTAGAAATTGAAGTGCATAAATTAAAATACCGGAATTTATAGTATAGAAATATAAATGACCGAATTTAAATTGCTGGAAATTAAATTGCAGAAAAGTAAATTGCAGTAAAATAAAAAGCAGAAATTAAAATACTAAAAAAAATTAAAGTACTGGAAAGTAAAAGACTAGAATTAAAATACTGAAAAGTAAAGTGTTAAAAAGTAAATACTGAAAAGTAAAGAGAAGACATAAAGTAAAAATAAAGACTTGTAAAGAAGGAAGCTAAGGAAACTTGCACTCCAAGTCACGAAACTTGCAAGACAAGTTTCGTCACTAAAAAGTAAGAAATTACTTGCAAACACTTGAAAACAGATTTTTATCTAAGGAAATAAATCATGAGCCACAAAGGATGAAATCCGATGTGATGCAACAGTAATCAATTGATTCCAACTTGTTAACGAAAATCGGAAAGCTTTTAAAAATCGAGAGTAAGAAAAGAAATGAGATGAAGCTTGAACACTTGCACTTGGATTAATAATTGAGAGCAAACTAGCAATTTTTCTTCAACAAATTCGGTTTTGTAAACACGGAAAACCGAAACCTTAAGAAAAACTAGAGAGGTTATAAAACCCAAAGGTTAAAATGTGTTTTTAGCTTAGAATTAACTCCTATTTGTAAGGAGTATAGAGCTTACACAAGAAGACTAACTAATAAGACAAAAGGAAGCTTATAGAGGAAGCTAACCTAAGCCCAAGGCCTTAAAATCTGCAGCTCCAAGGGTGCAGCCCAAAAATTTTGGCTCAGAGAAAAATGTGCAACCCATTGCCTGGTGCTGCAGGACTGTTGCCAACATGCTTCTACAGGACTGTTGCCAACATGCTTACAGGACTGCTAGGACTTGGTCAAAAATCTGCATAAACGGAAAAACAACATTAGATATGACATACTACTACTAATATATATATATATATATATAACATAAAATGACATAAAAGGACTCAATTAAGACACTAATAGGCAAATAAAACAAATGAAATGATCACGAAAATGATGTAATAAGGTTAATTAACACTTATCACACCCCCAAACTTGAATTGCTGTTTGTCCCCCAAATGTAACGTCTTGTGATACAATGTATCGGTTAAGCATAGGGGAAAAACACTTATACCCTTTTTGAAGTCGAGAGTAACGCATTTCAGAGACTTTGGATCCAACTTAGTTATGTGAGGTCGGGTATCGCGGACAAAACATGAACCACCAAAGATCTTTGGGTTGATAGGAAACAATGATTTTGTAGGAAACATAACCGAGAAAGGACTTTTACCATCCAAGACAACCGCATCAGCCTAGAAGACTTTAGGAACAATCATGTGAAATAATAGAGCCCGAGCCACCTCCAGGAGATGACGATTCTCTCGTTCTGCAACCCCATTTTGGGTTGGTGTGTCAACAAAAGAAGACTCATGAAGAATGCCATTTTGAATCATATATGACTGAAATGTTTGAGACAAATATTCTTTTGCATTATCACTACGAAGAGTTTGAATGGAGACTTTAAACTGAGTTTTAATCTCAACATAGAGTGAACAAAAATGTGTAAATACCTCGGATCGATTTTTTCATAAAGTAAAGCCAAGTGGTGCGAGAGTAATCATCAACAAATGTAACAAAATACTTAGGTCTAATTAGACATATTATGACCAATTAGACACATCGAAGTGAATAAGACACTTTATACCCACTTACTACAAAAATGACCAATTAAGGACCACTTAGACTCGCTATACCTCAATTAGATCGATTTAGCTCCAATTAGACACATTATAACCTAATTGCACTCGTTATGATGCCTTAGACTCGTGAAGGAGAATAGGACTATTTTAGGACAACTAAGACCAATTATACCTCAATTCGATCACATTTTGTCTAATTAGACACATTATATGACTCACTTAGTCGCATTATAACCCACTTAGACTCGTTAAGGAGAACATGACCAATTTAGGACCATTAAGACCCATTATACCTCAATTAGCCAAGCTACTAAAATGAGCCATTAGAGACCACTAAGACTCCTTATACATAAATTAGATCCATGTAGGTCAAATTAGACACATTTGACCCACTTAGTACTATTATGTCCCACTTAGACTTGTGAAAGGAATAAAAACCCATTATAGCCAAAAATATCTAAATGAGTCATTTAGGGCCATTAAGACCTATTATATTTAGCAACTTTGGTGGATCAACTTGAAAGACATGTGAGATCAGTTTCATTATTAATGAGAGGGAACAAAAGTGATGATGATGTGCATACAACTGAGAATGTAATCAATAAAGAGTAGGTAAGAACTCAGGTAAAGAATTGGAGAAGTTGTATCCCATTGGTTCATCATTGGTAAATTTGATGCTAGATCGAGGTGTGATAACCTTATCATCAGAAATGACCAAAATAGTTCTAGTGAAGAAGAAAGGCAGTTATTATCTTCCGACCGCTCTCTATGCTCTTTGTAATTTGTCCCTGAGATTTGATAAAAGAAAGGTGCATTTGCGGTTAATTCGTTGTCATTGTGATATTTTATTAGTTATTACTTCCAAACGTTGGTTAGATCCATTTAGGTCTAATTTGACATATTATCACTCACTTAGTCCTATTATGACCAATTTAGAAACATCAAAGAGAATAAGACACATTAACTTACTCGAAAATGACCGATTCAGGACCACTTAGACTCGTTATACCTCAATTAGATCTATTTAGCTCTAATTAGACACATTATAACCTAATTGCACTCGTTATGATGCCTTAGACTTGTTAAGGATGATAGGACCCTTTTAGGTCCACTAAGACTCATTATACGTCAATTAGATCCCATTTTGTCTAATTAGAC